CCTGGGATTATAGGTATAAGCCACTATGCCTGGCTTGTTGTCATTATTTATTGTCCTTCTGTCTTCTCCCCATAAGACTCTAAGTTCCATAAAGACAGTAACCTTCTCTATCTCATATTCCTCTGTTGGCTAGTGTCTAGACCTCAGTAGAGGGTCAATATAAATTTGCTAAATAATTAGGTGGATGAATAACTTCCCCCACTTCCCTTCTTCCATACACATGATTACCATTTTTTCAAGTGATTACCATTCTTTCAACTTCCATACACAAGTAAACATTCTTTCTATCAACTTTGAGGATTACTTTCTCAACCCTCCAATCTCTTTCTCCTTTATAAATGTGATATTTATCAGCAGTATGATAATTGTTTACATATATATGTATGTATGTATATATATATATATATGTATATGCCTCACTTAAAATTCTTTAATCCTGCTCTAAGAGTAGAACTGTATCCCCAACTTTTATGTACCTCTAATAAATGTTTTGCTTAACTTATGTCTGTAGTTAAACCAGAAATCTAATTGAGATAATAATTTCAACTTTTTATAATTCATCCCTCCTTTCCAAATAACTCAAAATAGGACAAGAAAATGAAGGGGTCATTTTCTATTCTGAATTTATCGCTGGAAATTTCAAGTTTTACATTCTCATATAATTATATTTCATGATCATAATTTACTTTATTTAAAAAATTTAGGGCTGGGATTGTGGCTCAGCAGTAGAGCGCTCACCTAGCACGGGCGGGACCCGGGTTCGATCCTCAGCCACCACATAAAATTAAAGGCATTGTGTTATGTCCATCTACACCTAAAAAACTAAATATTTTTTAAAAAAAATTTGGTTGTAGATGGACACAATGCCTTTATTTTGTTTATTTATTTATATGTGGGTGCTGTGGATCGAACCCAGTGCCTCACACGTGCTAGGCAAACACTCTACCACTGAGCTACAACCCCAGCTCCCCCAAGAATAATTTTTTAAAATTTTATTCACAATACCTTTATTTCACTCATTTATTTTTTACGTGGTGCTGAGGATCAAACCCAGGGTCTCATGCATGCAAGACGAGCACTCTACCACTGAGCCACAACTCCAGCCCCTCCCCCCCCCAGAATAAATTTTTTATGTAATAAAAAATCTTACGAATTTTGAGTGGTACCTGTAATGGAGTTTCTATTCCTAATCTAGAAGGGGGTGACGTTTCATTACTCCTTTCTTGTTGCTGAGGTATCAGAAGGTATTTTTCCATTTCTGCCTATTTCCTTTCATACAAAGACATATTCAGTTCCCTTTTTTCCTGGTCATACTCCTGGCAAGCCTTTTTATTTCTTTGTACCTATCCTCAGTAATCTGCCTTAGGTCCTCCTTTTGAGCCACTCTTGTTTCCTCCATTTATTTGATTAAATTTCTAACTAAGCCTGTTTCTTTAAGTCCACACATCTTTATGAACCTCCCTTCACACAGCTAAAACTTGATCATCTGGTCTCAGGAAACATAAAAATAACATTATCCACAACAACAAAATCAAGGGAAAATGACATCTGGCTTTGGAATACATCATATGCAGCTTTGGGCAAGATTTACTTTCTTAATTAAGTTTTGGTTAAGCCAACATTAGAAAGATTTTCTTTTATGATGCTGGATATCTGACTCAGTTTCAAAATTTGATGCAGTTTTGTTTTGTTTTTTAAGGCCATTCAGGCATCAACCATGGTTTTTAACTTGGTCCTTCAATCTGTTAAAATCTTTCATAAAGTCTGTTTTCCGTTTCCCCCAACTTATCTCCTACTTCTCTTGGTATACTGATCCAAATGGGTTTATATTAATTTACAAGTACCTTTTGCATGAGAACTCAAAGCATTTTAAAAACACTGAATCCAGTGAAATTTTTAGTGCAGATAATATATGACAGAAAACTATTTCTACCAGATACTACAAGAAAATTTGGATTTCTAGGGTAAATTCCACTGGTAATTCTAGCAAAAATATTTAGTAGGATTTTATGATTAGTTGAAAACAGAAAAACTTTAATACTGAACAGGTATACAAATCTATATCATCAATATATTAATCCCGTATCTGAAAACTCTACTAACTTAAATTCCCCAGTGGGGCTGGGGCTATAGCTCAGCAGTAGAGCGCTTGCCTCATACATTCAAGGCACTGAGTTCAATCCTCAGCACCACATAAAAATAAATAAAGATTAAAAATAGGAGAAAAAAAAACATGTAAATCTTTCTTTAAAAAAATAAATAAATTCACCAGGCCAGGCATGGTGGCACATGCAAGTAATCCCAGTAACTCAAGAGGCTGAGGCAGGAGGATTCCAAGTTTAAAACAGCTTCAGCAACTTAGCAAGACCCTATCTCTAAATAAAATACAAAAAAGAGCTTGAGATATGGCTCAGTGGTTAAGTGCCCCCTGGGGTTCAATCCCCAGTACCAAAAAGAAAAAGAAAAGAAATTAAATCCCTCAATACACATACATATAGAAAATAGCTTCAAAACAAACATCAATCCTTCCTCTTCACTGGGAATGTCACTCAGTGGGAGAGTGCTTGCCTGGCATGTGTAAGGCCCTGGGTTTGATCCCAGCACTATAACAAACAAAAATAAAGAATCCTGTCCCTTCTCCTAAACTCAGGCTAAAGTCCAAAGCTTCTCAGATCTACTCAATTTTTTGGAGGGTTGGGAAGACTGAGGATTGAACCCAGGGCCTCACTAAACCCCCAGTCTACCTACTACTCTTAAACCCTGATCTTAGCTCCACTTCTACTCCCAGCCATGCCACAAATAATTTTTGAGTGGATAAGCAAAAGGAAAAGAATGGGGTTAACAGAATTTTCTCTTTTGCCCCCTTCTGTTTATGCCATTAAGCTTTTGGCCAAAGAGATTTACAACCCCCAAATTCACATTGACTATTTTTATTTTATAGAACTCAATTACATTCACCAAGCTAAGCCAAAGGACACAGACTTCCCAAAATGAAGAGGGAGCAAAAGTGAATGATTCTGTAGTTCTGTTCCTTGCCCCTTCCATAATTATGCACTAACTGAAATACTTGAATAAAATAAGTACAATTTTAAGCCAAATCAGATATTTTACTTTGAATTGCTGACATATCAGAAGTTAAAACTAAAAAAAAATTAAATATCATTACCACAATTTACACTTTTTTCCACATATCTGAATATAGTTTTATAGCATTTGAACTTATTCATCATTACTACGATTCAAAATAATCTCTCTTCTATTTTTCCTACCTAAAAATGAACTCAGCTGGGGTTATTTGGCCCAAATTTTTACATAAGTTGCTAAATGTTAACAAAAAAATTAAACAGCAACTTTCCACAATGTCTTCAGTCAGTAAATTCCACAGCTTATTTTTAAACAAAGACAAAAACTTGCCCAGTGTCTAGTCACATTGTGAATAAAATACAGTTATAAATTCTTAGTTTTTCAATTTACTTCTCTAGGCTGCTTCCTCACCAAATAAAGAATTCCACAAGCTTTAATTAATTTCAGCTTCCCAAACTGTGTCCATCAATGTATGATTCCCAAGGAAAAATAAGTAATTAAAAAATTATTAACTCAACTGGCAAATATTCCTTTCTTCTTTTACCTTACTTTTAACGTTTCTTTTCTTGATGTAGATTAAACAGCGTAACTTTTAAGGAAAAAGCTGTCACCTACAGGTATTATCAGCATCATAGCATGGCCAAAAAAAAAAAACAAAAAAAAACCTGACAATCTCAGATCCCCAAATGGTAGTCACCAAGGTCTTTAATGAATAGTAAATTCTCTCTCTCTCTCTCTCTCTCTCTCTCTCTCTCTCTCTCTCTCTCTC